TCATAGGAATGCTAAGAGTTTGTTATAATGTAATGACAACAGATTTATAATATAATAATAAAATGAATCAATTATTGATATTAGAGAATAACAAATTATTATATAAAGGGTAAACCTGTAAGAAGCTTTTATAGATCCGGAGGGAACCAGGAGGGGATCAAAAGCGAAGCGAGATTTGACCTGTCAGGTGGGGCAAATGGATGACTAATCTAGGCCTGAGGCCAGATCATCACAGTAAGTAGGCTGAGCTCAAGAATGCAAATTTTTATAATAAAAGAGTGTGAAATACTTATATCAGATATACTATTTAAATTCAATAGTAATCTGATCACTTAATGGGATAATGGTATAATTTATCTTAATTAGAAGAAATAATATAAAAACCTTTATTTAATCAAATCAGAATTATCTGATATACAAGGCACATACAGCAAGCTCAGAAAGTTGACGATAATAAAAGACTAGTATATTACACAACATGCTCGAGGAGTATATATAACAACTATATATCAATCAAAGACAGCTTTTGATTTATTATATACAGTACAAACAATCAACCCAAAAGAAGAAGATACCAATACTCTTGTCACGGGGTGACACTAAGCCCTTTCTGTCCTGTCCTGTCCTGCTATATATGTGAGAGTAAGGTAGAACTTCCAGTTCTACCTCCTAGTCTTTTGGGCGTTTAGCTCAGCGGTAAAGCTTCTGAATACTCCCAGAGGTGATCCCGTGACATTAGGTAGAACTACCCTTGGTTATAAGTGGAGCTGTGTGGGGGGCCCACTTATAGCTTACAAGCCTTCATTGGTTTGGGGGCTAGCATATATAGATCCTGTCTGCCTGTCTGAATGCCTGAGGCATTAGAATCCAGAATCCAGAATCCTGAAACCTCCTAGTAGGTGATGGTATGGAGACCATACCTTAAGGAGGGGGGTGGTGTCACGGGGTGACACTAAGCCCTTTCTGTCCTGTCCTGTCCTGCTATATATGTGAGAGTAAGGTAGAACTTCCAGTTCTACCTCCTAGTCTTTTGGGCGTTTAGCTCAGCGGTAAAGCTTCTGAATACTCCCAGAGGTGATCCCGTGACAACTCTCAATAAATACATCCAATAGCAAATCGATAATTCAGAGAGAGGATTACAATTTATTCCACTTAATATGGATTCTCTTAAATTGATTATATTCACAAATATGTTCTTTACTAATAATAAAGATTTATTCTTTTAGATTAGATATATTATTATTCTAATGGACAAGTTCAATAAAACTAATATTATTCATTAATTATTAATCAAATATAAAAAAATTACTAGGAGTATACTAATATTAGAGCTTTACGGTATGGTTTTGGGCTTTGATATTAGTATAGCAATCAAGGTATGCTTGATAAGATCTTCCTAAATCGCAAGATATTATTGGTTATATATATCGATTTGAGATTATTATATAACTGTCTCACAAAGCTTAGTATAACTACCAAAAAGAGATTAATAATTGATATAATAACAATTCAAAAGGTATACGAGAAACGAGAGATTATAAAGATCAAATGGATTGATAGAGAATCTAATCCAGTAGATACAATAACTAATCTAAGCCGTATCAAGCTCTAAAGGACTTGATCGATAATAACACTATAAAGATTAAGGTTATAGAATAGGTTGAAAGAGATTAATAGTATAGATGGTTATATTGAGAAAGGATATTAACTAGAAAAGATACGATACGACGACTTTAGAGAGTCGTCAGTGTTGGGACAGGGATCATATGACCGCGCTAGCGCGTGCGCTAGCGCCCCCGCACTATAGCATATACGTTCGTAGCCTTTAGCTTTAGAACCTCAAGCAATATTACAACAGTGTGAATCATTAGTACTATATTACTTCACCATCCCCATGGTGATACCAACAGTTGTACTTTCTTTTTATTATATAAATGATTCTATAAGATTCGATTTAAATCGATCTTATTTATAAGCATAGAAAATACTGGAATTTCATTATAAACTATTTAAACCTAGGATATTCTTTAAAGAAAACCTAGAAAAAGTAAGCAATTTCATCTTATTTAAGCCTAGCTCTTCTAAATTGACTTCAATTGAACATTTATTATATATATTCGATTTATCCCTCAAGCTTAAATTGACTAGATCTTCCATTATTATTATGATAATAATTATTCTTATTATTATAAAAGCTAACCTCCAAGAGTAATATCGCTCATACTCTTACAAAGGAAATAAAAACGCATCGGAGTAAATATATATCTCTATTATCGGCTTTTTTACCCTCGAGATTTTATTCTTTTCTATTTAGATATTATTATTGTTTTTATGATTGTGTGAGAGATTTCAAGGTTCCGAGATTCCGAGATTTTAGAGTCTAGAGATTTTTGAGTATAGATATTTGAGGAGTGTTTTTATGTTTTGGAATTTGATAGTATAGGGAAACAATACGGAATGAATAAATCATCTGGATTGACAATAAATAGGATTTATAGCATTATTATTTAGTGCTTATAAGGATAATCAGTCTTCTAAGTTTTGAGAGTGAGATTTATCATCATTTCTCAATTTCTTCTAGAGAAGGAGGAGGAGTGGGTTTGAATGTGAAAAATCAAGTTCTCTTTTAGTTCTCGTTCCCTGTTGCGTTCTTTATATTATATAGTCTATAACTTCTACTTTCCCTGCTTATTCACTACTATAAATACTCTAGGTCTTTGGAATCTAAGATCTATCTTCTGAGAGAAATCAGTTTTACTGTACCGGAAACCCGACAAGGAATTGGTTTCTGGGATAAGATTTCGGGTGCTGAGTGGTTTTTTGATTTAAAGAAGTTGGGGATCTCATTTGCGGGAGGGATTGAGAAGGAATGATTAAACACGGGTAGAAAGTGTGATTATGAGAATCGGATTGATGGTGATGATGAGATATATAGGAAACGATGATAGATATTTAGATAATGACGATAATGAGGTAGTGGAATTCTTCTTGATCATTTCAGACTCGTTTGTCGATAATATAATCTCAACTGGTTCTAAATACTTTTAGCTGAGTTCTCGTTTCGAGCTAAGAATGGATAGATTTCAAATTTTTCCTCTCAACTTTGTATACTTGGTTTCTTCTCTGTTATTGTTTTTCTTTCATAGAGTACGGGTATATAAGTCATTTCTTTCTTGTTGTATTTTCTCTCCTCTATTTTCATTCGGGAAATACACGAGTTCTGAAATTAGGCTGTACTTCGGTTAGGGTTATTGTGACGAGTCACATTATCTAGTATATAGACTCTCTTCTTTAAGATCTTTCGATCTTAAATTATCCCTTTTGGGGTTGTGTAGCCTAGTGGTAAAGAAGAGAGCTTTAGGTCCGTCACAGTTATGAACGTCTATAATTCTTCGAGCTCTCTGAGATATGTTTAGACTTTCTTTAATTATATTTCTTAATGGGATATCATAGTAGCGATTACGTAAGTAGGCTAAATCCTTGATAGAGTAACTTTATATCTTGTAGAATATATAAGTAAGCTGTTAGAAAAGGTGCTTACACCGCATATCACACTATGCTGTATCGGGATTAGCCCGCATGTGACTCTGTCGAGTCCATACATATATATCGTATCTCTACGTAGAACCTAATAATATTAAGGCTTTTTCCACCAACTCATATATGATCTTTCATCATAAGCTTTATTATTTAAATGAAACGTCTAATCGTTATTAATTTAATATAGATAATACTTTCAAATATATATTTCTATATTAATAAGCTATAACTATAAATATAGACACTGATAGTAGAATCGAGAATAGCAGTAACTATTGAAAGATAGATAAAAGCAGATTGTCAAAAACTAATTAAACGTACTCTAAATTCTCTTCTATAAAATGATAATATATAGAATGATATCGATAAGCGAGTTATTATTCCCTCAGACTCTACGAACTTATACAAGGACTTTCTTATCTGATTCTCATGATAGTTAAGATTCTATTGAGTTTCAATAAATGAATCCCTTGAGATAGGAGTAGAAAGAGCGATTCCATCAGAATTTGGTCGTGTAATCTAAGCTAGATTTACACGCAGGTTGTGAAATAGTAGCAACAGCGACTTTGGAGTCTTTACGAATTAAATATAGCCCTAGCATTCGTTTTTGTTGTGACTAGCCCCTTTGTGACTCTCGATTAATGCTTAGCAGCCAATCCCTATCACTCCACTTCCTGGCACGAAAAATTCTAAACGCTGTTTTCAATCGTTTAGAAGTTTTCTTCAGATAGTTGTCTGGATCGGCTTCGATTTGATTAAACAAGAGAATAGTTCTTCGCTTTCATATGGGGTTTATCTTAAGGGAGATCACGTTACTGTCTTGGAGAGCATTTCCACTCAATATTTTTCCATACTAGCGAATATTGCAAATCCTGACCTCCTAGAAGTCGAAGACCTCGAGTTTAAACATCTTCTCAACGCCTTCTGTGAGACCAGGAAGAAAAAGGGTTCCTGAAGTATCGATGGGCAGCGGTGAACTTTTACCCTTAATTCGTCTACCGTCTGGTGTGTAACCCTAACCCCAAACCCTAATTTGGGGTAAAGAAATATGTGCGAATTTTTATGTAAGTTTCGCATTTAGAGCGCCGACGACAGTATCCCAACAAACACTGGTAAGAATTACTTGAGGGCAGTTGCAACCAATATAATTTAATGTGTTTGGTCTATTTCAATCGATAAAAGGGCGTATACCAAAGGAATTTTTCCCTTGAAATTTGTTGTGTGTGATCCCGACACTATTCATACACTCTTACGTAGCAGCTTGATCTTTAGTGATGGTTTATCCCGTAGGATATACGTTTTCTGTTTCTCTGTCCACCATCTACTCTCCTTGCAAAGCTCTATATCAAATTCCAACAACATCCGTGCAAGAATAGATCGCATTTCAAAATAAGCTAGGCTTCAGTTTCTATCATCAGATTTGTTTTTTTTTTCATATGTGATGAGAATGGCGACCAAACTTACTTCTTCCCAAGACAGTTTCTTGGTCCGATGGAGAAGGGTTGAAACGCAGCTTTGTCATCATGCTTATATTTATCTGGAGGAGCCGTACTCCATCGAGCTGGATCAAATGTATCTGGGTCGGCGAAGTTTTTTTGCCGCATGATACGCTGCCCAATGATTCACACCAACAGATATCTGAGGTACCGTGTCAATATACAGAAATGGGTAGAACTTCAATATGAATGGCACATACGTTACCTGGTATGAAAGTACCGTTTATGATCTCTCCCTCCGAGCGAGTACGACGAGGGAGCATAGATGGTGTTGGGGGGGGGGGGTACATCCGTAAGGCTTCTTCGATGATCGTGTTTATATATGGAAGGTCTCTCACAGATACCATGTTAATATCATTGACAGTCTTGAATTTTTTGCGGACTTCGGATTGTCGCTTCCGAACGCACTTTCGGGTGCTTCAACATGTAGTATGTAGCGCCACACAAGGCTGATGCTGTGGTTTCCGAACCAGCCATGATCATAACTGTTGCTGTTCCCTCTATTTTATCGCGGCTCATGCCATTTTTGTTATTGCCAAGTATCTATTCTTTTAGTCAGACAATTTTTTCAGGATATGAGATGTTCCTTACATAGCTGATGAAGTCCTTCTGATCTGTGTTCTTCCTTAATCTCGCTTCAAGCTTGTCAATTGTGTAGGCCATATGCACTTGCTTTTGCTTTTTAACGCCTGGAATTAGATTCATCAGTAGAGCCAGAATGATGCGAAATAGTGGATATGCCTGCGCAAATCTTATCACAACCACGAACTTTAGTCCCACGAGGATTTGTTCTATCCAATAATGATAGCTTCCAGATTTCAATGTTCCAAATGCCTCTCCTAAGCACAAGTCTCCGATAATGTTAAATGTAACAAAGTTGTACCAATCACGTAGATCTATATGACTAGCAGCTGACCCATCTATTTTCTCCTGGAGTTTTTCGATGAGCTGTTCAAAATATGTTGTCATTAGTGATTCTTGCTCACGCAGCGCCACATCAGAGAATGCGTGCGCTAAAGTGCGCCGCATGCGAGAATGATCTGTAGCATTCGCAACTACAGGTCATTAGTCTTCTGAGAAATGCACCAGGAATAGTAGAATTTACAAACCTATGATATTGCTTTTGCCAACATGATCAAGATGCCATTTCTCATCACGTCTAACTTCACGCCGAACCTCGCGCAGGCCATAAATATCTGAATGAATCTGTAAGACTAGGTTCTCATTTTTGATAATTCATGTGTAAACGGTTGGAATATATCTTACCGCGCCATGACTGTGCTGTGTCAAAAGACAGTGCTTCTGGAGTGATCCGTACAATATCTCCGTATCTATCATGGAGATCCTTTGTCTCTTCAACAGCCGTACCACGTGCCAAACTCAACAATTCTGGAAAGTAAAAGGCAGCACGAAGACTTGGTCCGCGGAACTTGGCGAGTGGGTGTAGAGTAACATTGTAAGCTGCGCGGAGAATCGAGAATATGATGTACTAAGATATACCAGGGTTAATTCAAGTGTTGGAATCGCTGCTGGCGTCTTACATCTGGGACAAACCATAGTAGTGAAGTACCAATAGACGTGTTATGCCAAACTCGAACCGCTATACGGACACATAATCCGATGCTAATACTTAGATTAGGTCAAATGTCCTATGCAAGTTGAATTGTTGCATACATTACAAATTGTTCCCACATGTTCAGTGAGTAGGGATCTCACACAAATGCTGTATGCTACAATTTATATCTCGAGATACGGCTTTGCTGTGAACAGATATAAAGATTAAACTCTGCGCTATATGTAAGGAGAGAGCTTGAGCAAATGATGCAACCTCGGCACATTCATTTGTCTTGTACCCGCCACGTTCATATGTGACCTCGGAGTTCAATTCCTTGCAACGTACCGTTCTCTGACTAGCAGAAAGGTACCCCACTCGACCTGACTATTGTCCTAAATAAGTTTCCGGATATGACCTTCATATATGCACCGGAAACTCAAAGATTATTGGGCTACTATAAACTCGACAATTTCTTTGCGTCGTCAAAAGTGCCAATTTCCATTAAGTTGACTTCAGTCTCATACTAAACTATCTCTACTGATACAAGCAGCTACACTGTTGTCTTAAGCGACATTAATCTAGCCCGTGAAATGATCAAATTCGGGTAATCATTTTGAGGAGTACTTTCTTTATCATAATGGTCACACAATTTCCACTTCCAAAGATTTCTTAACCTTGATGTCCCCCTTAACGCCACTATATTCTCATTTTGGCTGACGTGATTCAGCAAAACAAGTTCTGAATTTTCGTCATTGCCTGTTCCAATTCTACCGCTGAATCTTTGGAATTCGTGGTCGGGCAATCTTGTCTGATTGCTTCCCTTGCGCCAAGGACTTAAAATATTAGACTTGGTTCGTGAGCCTTTCAAATCATACGACCCCGCTGAACTCATTTCACTCCTTCCTTTCACCAAATAAGGAGCGGATCGAGGCATACAAGCCGAAGTCACCACAGTAGTGTTTTCACCTGTGAATATCATGCGGGCATAGATGAACAAATAATGGCGACATTGATTTCGACGACACTGGGCTAATCTTTAGCAAAGAACTAGTGCCATGTGAAAATATTGACTTACGCAGAAGAAACAAATGCCCCTTCATTACAATTAACATTAGGACCGTATGAAAGTTCGCAACGATAATAGAGACTAACACAACTTGCAACGAGAGCGCTTTGTGCAGTTAGCCTTGAATGATCTCATCGAACGATCAATGAATCGAGCGACTTAAAAGATACCCGTAGTAAAGACGGCGATAATATTAAGCTTGGTTCTAGTTGGCCTTTGAAGTTTGATGATCGGCTGTACAGGTAGCAGTAAGATATAGATATCAAGAAGAATATTGCATGTCCCCTGAACGATGGCTAACGGTTCGATGCGAGCACATTTTTCGAGGGCGTCGGGTGAATCCCAAGAGCCCCCAGGACGTGGAGCGCAGAAGTATGCCAAACCGGTACATTCGCCATATAGATAGCAAAGTCTGCTGCAAATCCAAAGTTTACTGCATAACGAAACTTTTTAGTAGTCCCAAAGATTCGCAGCTAAAGCAAAAGAATGGGAATTCTTGAGAATAAGAATGCGAAGGCAACAATGTTGTTCTGCGCATAACGTTTCTGTGCAAGATTTAAGTCGAAGACAAAAGTAATGGTATGATAGAAGTGACGAATACCTTCCAATAAGTTAAACTAAAACATATGACTGGAACGTCCCACATATGTCTTGATACCCAGGCCACTGAAGTTTTTTTTTATTTTTTTTAGCAAAGATCAAGCTAAATCTTTTGAATGGGTCAAGTTACAGTCAATGATGAATGATGCGTAGGCAATTGATAAGCTCTAACCAGCAGTAAAAGTCAAGAGATTGACATAAACTGTACTAAGATAGAGTTGACTTACTGTTGCTACAATACAAAAGTCTATTCGTGGCTAGCAACTATCTTACACTTGAGACATTCTACTTACAATCTTCTGCGCCTGCAGAGCGCTTCACAAAGAAGTTTGCACACAAACACAAGCCAACGAATGCTACAGTAAGAACCAAAAAGATGACTGATACTGCTATGATTGCGACCCTCTGAGAAGGTGGATCCATTAGGTTAACAACCTCTCCGGGTGGTGGGGGCTCCGATAGCATCGTGGCCTTGATAGCGGCAATAGCAGCGGCTTGGGCAGAACTTGCCGCGGGGCTCAGAGATGTTGTTGCGGGCATGGCTAAGTCAAGATGGAATCAACGTAGAAGATTCAGAAAAATATCTGGTCTTGAAGAGATGTAAATATACGAGAAACATTCACTATTTATGGGACTTGAGTTGTCCTACTATTCAGAAACAGCAAAGTCGTCAAACTTCGCCATACTATTGCACAGCAATACTTTGATGAACCCCCAAAATACTACGCCTCTTGAGTGAAAATAGGATTTGCAAGTTCTGACTTTACATCTACACTAGAAGTTGTATTGAAATTGTGCTAAGGTCGCTTTTAGTTTCAATTAAGCAGAAAATCTGTTTGATATGTGAAAGAAAATAAGCTATAATTACACGAGGACTTGCATCTTTGATTAGCAAGTTAAGTTCTATGATGTACTTCAGTATATTTGACCACCGCATATCTATACAAGTGCTACCTTCAGCATTAGGTGTGATCCATGAATCCTTTGGAGGTAGGTGAGATGGAGATTTTGATGTGTAGATGAAGCTATATGAGTGGCGGAAGAATTAAACGAGCGGTTATATCAGATGTTTAAGATAGGATCGATATCAAACCTTATCTCGTTCTTCAACGGGGATCATATATCTTGAAAACATGTTTTTTATGCAGTCATACATTTCTGTAGGGATAGAATGAACTTCTGTAAGCAAAGGTGATTGAAAGGAATTAAGAGTAATAGTCGGCTCTCATAAGCGGCCGACTGGTTTCTAGTCGGGGGAAGCAAGTTTTTCTGGAAAGTGATCTTCTCGGCCAACAAAAATCCATATAATCTGATTGTTTTCGAAGCTATTATAGAATTTATGATATCCTTAGATTGCTCTAATCTTGTTGAATCGAAATATATATTTAGTTTTGAAATCTTGTTAAGATTGATAGTTTTGTATCAAAACAAAAGATTTCATATACTAAATTATTATTCTGATGTATTCCTTACCAAGAACACTAGCGATAACATTCGCTTTCCGGGGACACTTGCCTTCTCTGACCAGAAACTAGTCGGCCCGCTCATAAGAGCCGACTATTAGTTCGCGAAATTGATTGGCGTATCGCTTGTGATTATGAATAATAGAAGTTATCATATTTGTACAAAACGACGGAAATAGTGCATGGCATTAATAAAATAATTACGCTGATTGATTGGCTGCCCGAACATCGATTCCTGGATACTATTTTTGAGCAATAAAATGATGTTACACTTCTCTGATCGCTCTGGATGGTTTAAGACATGGGTGGGTGGAAGTGGGGCAATTTGAACCTTCTCACCGTCACGATGGAAGAAAAACGCGAAACCGACAATTCGCTCCCTTCCAAAATTCTATATCAAATAATTCTGTCTAACTATGTATTTAGTTAACTGTATTGATATTTAATAGAATCGGGGCTTGGTCTCAAATTTAGTTAATCCAAGATGTGTTCCAAATTGCTATTTGATTCTCGAATAGATGGATTTCTGAACGAGGGGTCGTTTTGGTGAGTTTGGTGCCCTGGGCTTTCTCTCGTGAGAGAGCTTTACTAAACATTTGGTCTTACTTTATTTCCCCACTTCCTAACCCTGTCCCTTCCCATTCCCACAATGCGATGCAACGTCTACGCCGCAGTTAGTGTTTCTTAGTGCATAATTTTGTTAGGGGCCGGGGTGATGTGTAAAGTTGGGCACGGTTGGGGGATTTCACAAGCACACATAGGCTTCAAGAATCAGATACCCGGCGCAATTGTTACTTTTATGGAATAGTTCACTCGGTAAGCAACATAATTTACAAAATGAGAGGGGCCACGGAACATGTTTCAATACTATCATCACTCTACTGTATATCCAAATGAATGGCAATACGCAATCTTCCAACGGCGGCCAAATGTTGACGAGAAGATTTTTTTTACCAACTAGCCTCTCTACGTCCTCCTCACGCCAATGCTGCCGATCAGGGGTGCGTTCAGGTCGTTTTTTTCTTCTAATTATTTGATAACTCATTATTAGCGAAATAATTTATCAAACAATTGAAATAATTGAAAAAAATAAACAGTTTGTTTGCAATGAAATTATTTCGATTAATTAAATAATAATTGAATTATTTAACAAATTTTTTTTTGTTAATTGTTTAACAAATAATTTTTTAACAATTGATTTTATTATTTCGAGTATTTGATAAACTTATCATTTGATTTTATTTGATCTTATTTAGCAAATAATTTATATTTACTACTTCAAATAAAACGATCCGAATGCGTTCTAAATCCGATTGGGATTTTGGAAATGACTTGCTTATTTGATTGATCGCTTGGCTAATAAGGTAATCAAGTCAAAGCGTTTTCATTCTTTAGAACTGTATATCGTTACTCTTGATTCAGAAAGAGACTAGTCTCTCCTTATCCACTTCGAATCATGTTGCACATCCGATTATAGACTCTTCAAGATATCTCAATTCGAGTTCATCTAGAAAAATATTTAGTGTTCAAAATCTAGCGCCCAAGTTTCCTCAAGACTCTTCACTATAAATTACATTCTCCTCATCAACCGATCACAAATCGCAACTAAAGCTATGTCTTCAATTCTTTCCACAATTGCACAAGGTCTCGAAGGAGAAGTCTTTGAGCTTGATAGTGATGGTTATGACGCTTCTTTGAAATCTTATTTTACTCTCCAGGAGGCACAGCTGAAACCAACTTTCATCATCGCCCCTAAATCTGCTCTGGATGTCGCCCAGGTTCTAAAGTCTTTGAGAACTATAAATTCTGCGTCTGATATTGCTACAAAATTGGCTGTTAGAGGAGGCGGTCACAGTCCGTTTGCAGGTAGCGCTAATATTGACAATGGTATTACAATTGACCTGCGAAAAATTGACACCGTTGAAGTAAACGAAAGTAAGGATATTGTCTCAGTCGGAGGAGGTGCTATCTGGGGTCAAGTATATGACAAGCTTGATGCTTTGGGGTTGTCTGTAGTTGGGGGCCATGTCTATGATGTAGGGGTTGGAGGATTTAGGGCTAGTTTGGATGTACAAATCCGCGCTGGATCCACTGAATATTCCGCTCTTTTTGAAAACGGATTTTGAATTCATATTTAAACATCAAATCACGGATTCCGTCAAATAATCCGCATTTCAATGAATTTAGTATATTTTGAGGTGGGGAGGAGGTAAATCACTCTAAAATGACACTAAATAATTCGCGTTTTTCACCAAATTTGTATAGGAAAACAAGGACACGGATTGAAAACGAGAACTAGAAAAAGCAGTCCTCGTTTTCAATCTGACAAATAATCCGCGTTTTTATAGGCTCTTATAGGCCTTTCACCCTATATCCATATAATATTATAATGATATTAGTACTTCAAATACCTAAGTTTATAGAGTATCTTTATTTTTCTTCAAATCATCTCTGATTTCGATTTAGATTACTTTACATTTCTATTCCCCATATACTAGAATATATATAGCTTAGTTTAAAAGTAGATTCTTTAATATTCTTTCTATTATAGCTTTAGATTCTATTAATAATTTAGATTGTAAACTGCCTTTTTCTTATTCACAATGAACGACGATGAGGTTGATGATTCTGAACAGTTTATTCCTATCTTGATTTATAATTTAGCTGCTGTTATTGGCTCTTTTTATTGTACTCTAATTTCGAAAAAAAGAATTGGTACTCCTGGTGAATTTAAAACACAATCTTTTCTTGATTTTAAATACCCTCAACATTGTTAAGAATAATTACATATGCCTCTATGCACTTTTCGACTTTTGATCGAGTTTTGTCACGAAAAAACAAAGCTACAACACTCTCAATATGCTTCAATTGATCAAAAACTATATGTATTTCTCTATATTGTAGGCCAGCATGGAACTATACGTAGTACAACTGAAGCCTTTTCTCATTCTGAAGAAACAATCTATAGGTACGAAAAACACCTATATAAAATCTACTTATTGGTTTATTCTAATATACTTTAAAATGGTTTTATCAAGTTTTTAGATGCTATAATAATATTATACCTATTAGTAATAAAGCTACCGGATCCAACTATACAATTCGCTCTTCCTCGAATAGCAGAAGATGAAAAATATCATATATATTTTGCGAATTGCCTAGAAGCTCTCGATGGTACCTTTATTCCAGCAATAGTACCTTTCGAAGATCGATCTGCTTATTTCAATCGAAAAGGGTATACTGCACAAAATGTTCTTGCAGTAATTACTTTCAATTTACAATTCTGCTATATATTAACCAGTTGGGAAGGTTCTGCGAATGATCAAAAGGTGCTTTCAGATGCTTTGATTTCAAAAGGTTTACGAATTCCAGAAGGTTATTATTATCTAGATGATGCAGGATATATAAATACTGGGCAGATTCTTACTCCATTCAAAGGGGTAAGATATCATCTACAAAAGCAATTGGAATCCAATAAGACACCCAAAACACCAGAAGAGCTTTTCAACCTTCAACATTCTTCTTTACGAAATAAGGTTGAGAGAATTTTTGGAGTACTCAAAATACGCTTTCCATTTCTAACACAACAACAAAAATACCCATATACAACTCAAATACGTATAGTTTATGCTTTATGCACTCTACATAACTTTATTCGACAAAATAGCTTCGAAGAAGATCCATTCGAAGTTCAATTTGATTGTATTATCGATCGTGTTCCAAGCACTATGGATGATATAATAATGAATTCAAGCAGTAACAAATTAGACTCTATTTCGTCACAATCTATGGACTACTTTCGACAAGGAATTGCAGAGACTATGTGGAGAGATTATTGCAAGGTGAAAAGAGTTCGAAAAGCGCGAGAGAAAGAAAAGCAACACCGTATTGAAATAGAATTTGATAAGTACATATAATTAGAATAGAAAGTAATCATCAGGGTTTCTCCATTTACCATTATCTTCTGCTATAGCTTCTAGCGTTTCTTCGAATTCTTTAAGGAGTTAAGAGAGATCTTCTTTCCATTCTGTATAATGGAGTAGATTCCAAGCTCGCTTATATCTCACCCCATCTTTAGGAATCCAAAATCCATGTCTTTTTGGATCATAGCTCTTATTAGAGGTCCACCATTCTTCAGGTCCAGGAAGCTTGATATCACTCTCTCCCTCTAGCTTCAAAATATCAGAGCTCCAAGAAGCAAGATTTCTCCAAACAGCACGTTGTCGACGACTGAATATTTTTATGAGGGAGTTTATTAGGATACAAATATACTCTATTAATATATTAATAATTTGATATAATAATAAGTGAGGGATAGTAAGTGAGAAATGGCTAGGGAGAAATGGCTAGTGAGAAAAAATCAAAATAAACCTACCCAGATGAATCTTTCACCCATAAAAAATCCAAAGATTCTTTATCAATTTTTTCGTTTAGACTCTTTAAATTAATCATAAACTGCTTTACGCTAGCTTTCCAAGCTCTAATCCAAATCAAAATCCCAGAAAGTCCAATTGTCTAAACTTATATATTAGCATTTATAGAATCAATAAACATTACACCTTTATATTTGTTTTAATTCTTGATTGATATTCAAATCTTTCAAGTCAATCTTTTCAAGCTCTCTAACTTTCATTGTTCTCTTCTTTATTATCAGATTCCTCCTTTTCCTCTTTCTTTTTCTCGTTAATATCGACTTCCCAACCCTCAAAATCTGTTTCGGAATCATCTGATTCAGACTCTGATACAGGGTTATCGTTGTTTTGAACAAGGTTTTTTGCCTTCAACGCTTTTCTAAATAAAGTTAATTAAAATCAGATTTTCATTTGGATCCACGTACTGGGATTGTCGCATTTCGATATTCAATCGAGTTTGTGCAACCATTTCATCTTGTCTATTCTTCGATGCCTTTAAAAAATCAGAAGTTTTGCGAAGCACTTTCAAAGCGTAGGAAATCTGATGCTTTTTCCTATCTTTCTCTTTTTCGACTTCTAGCTCTTTAGGTGTCATTCTTGCCTTTCGATTGCGTGCATTTCTAGCTTTTCGCTTTTGCAAATATTCTTCTTGCTTTCCCTATAGCTTCTTCTTATTAGATTTAGTTACTACTAGTATCTTTTTGATTCTTTGAAGTTTAGAAGAGATTCAATATTATAAATATAACGTTTATTATTGTTGTTGTTATTGTTGTTCCTAAAAGCGCATTGTTTGTACTGTTTGTAATATTTTCGTATTCGGAATAACTATATTCCATGAGAAATAAGTAGTATGATTGGTTGAATTACGCGACACGTGATACATTAATTCACAAACACGCGTTTCTAAACATTTAATTTTTCAACGCTTATTCCTTTCGCCCCCATTCTTGAAGCTTTTTAGGTATGCACCCCTTGAATATTTGAAACCTTTTCTACAATAGACTGAAATGATTCAAATCTAGGGCCTTGAAAGCGCTACATTCCAGGAAATCCTGTAGCTGTAATATAAACTACAAACGCACTACATAGGGAAGCTATGTCACGTACTAATATCGGAAAGAGATCAACGAATAAACAAGAGCTAGGTGTAGGTGGAAGGTCACCTTTTTTAAAAATAAGAGTGTAAAGAAAGCTTCGAAAGCAAAGGTTCAAAGTGCAAGAAAGCAGCCTAAAAAGGAAAAGCAGAAGTTGCTAAAAAGAGCTCACCGATGGAAAGCGGGGAGTAAGTAAACCTTTTCTTGATTTCTAAGCTTCTTTCTTACTAATTGAGTATAGCGGTTGCATTACGAGAGATTAAAAAGTATCAAAAATCGACCGAATTGCTCTTGAAAAAAGCCCCTTTTCAACGTTTAGTTAAAGAGGTTTCGGATCAATTTGCACTTGGTGGAGAGTGTTGGAGGTGGAATGCTGCTGCTCTTGTAGCAATTCAAGAGGCAGCTGAATCCTTTATGATTACTCATTTTGAGAGTGCGTTTTCTATCCTTCTATTTATCAATGAGTAGATTATTGATTTAATTTATAGTGCTACAACATTGTGCATTTCATGCAAAGAGGCAAACTATTAAGACACAGATAGCATTTTTCTTCGAAGAATGATGGAGCTGGCAACCCCTGTTATTGGTGGATATTACATCTTGAGAGGCTAAACTTTACAGTTTTCTCATTAGCCGTTTCTCACTAGCCGTTTCTCATTAGCCGTTTCTCATTAGCCGTTTCTCACCAGCCGTTTCTCACTTGCCATTTCTCACTAGCCAGCTATTACATACTTATATTCTTTATTTCACATACCTAGGACTGGTGAATAGGTGTCATTCGTACTCATATATTGTTAATATCAAATAAGACAAGGTATTGAAAGATATAATATTAATATCTAATTGAATAAATACAAAGGTTACATTGATAAAAACATACAATAAAGAGAACAGAGTGAATAGAACTACCAAATCAAAAGCTATTAGAACTTGGAAGCCACCCTTCATTTAAAGCTTGTTGTAAAGGAGCGGATAATAGAGGCATTTCATTATTTTCCTTTTCGTGCTGCTCTTTAAGCTTTCTACAGATCTTATCCACAAACTCTGCTTGAAATGAGCCTATACGCATAAACATCAGCAGCTCACCATAAGATTGGCGAACACCAGGTACCAGATATTGTAGGAAATCAACAAGCTTGAAAACAATATCAGCCCCTAGGGACTCATATTTGCTAGAATAGTTTTATACAATCATATAATATACTTAATGCCAAAGGGGTAATGGGTTGTCGACTTGAGTATGTAAGGCGCTAGAGTGGTTTCTCGATTTATTAAAATCTCTTAAAGATTCATTAATATAAAGTAAACTATCTGCAACTTCAGAAGAGACAGTTTTTCGAGGCCTTTTCGATAGTGTATAGCTCGTAATAAATTGTTTATATCGCTCTGTTTCTAACTATAAATCAGTTAATAATAAAATACATCTCAAAAATATGAATTCCTTACCTTGTATGTCCCAGAGCTATGTTTATTCCACCTTTTAGCGCTCTTATCTGAGAAAGGTATAGAGCGTATTGAATCAGCAAGATTATCCTCCTCATCCGAAGAAACAATTGTTTGTTGCATTAAAGCTATAGGGTGATATGCAAATTTACCACTAGCTGTGCGAGTTTCGAATAGAAATTGAAGAATCGACCAGCTCTCTGTATAGTGACTTCGATGCCAACGATATTTTCGATTATTAGCTTCGCTTGCTTGTAGAAACGTTTTCCATAGATGATCAGGTGCATAAGGCTGCATAGTGTCGTTCTTTTCATTGAATCTAGTGCCCCAACCAGATAGGTTAAGAAGATACCGACACTCTACATAACGTCCCTTGATTTAAATCAAATCAATTAGATCAAATAAACAATAAAAAAAGAGGATGTTCATACCGAATTGATTTTCTTTTTAATTTGATCACCAGTTAGATTCTCATTACTATTAGTGCGTGTCTTGTGCTCTAAAGCAATAGCTTGTGCAAATTGACTATAATGAAGTGTTCTCCATCCAGTGAATTGACCTGATCGTTGACTAGTCTTCTGTAGATGACTTTGCATTAAGTTTAAAAGAAGCTTTTCGTAGGGTTTCTATTTGAACTGATTTGTAGATTTCTTCGAAATATCTTCGGTTTCAGTTTCCGGATCCACTGATTTATCCTCCCTTTCAATGGTGTCGGTAAAGGGGTTCTTTTCACTTTTTGAACCACTACAGGTGTTATGTTTTGGGTCTTGATTGGTGTTATAGCTATTATCGACATCCCTCTCGTCGTCATCGTTCTCATCGCTGTCTGTATCGATGTTTGTTGAGAGCCTCTTATCGGTTTCGGAATCCTGCTATATATTATAAATTAATATAATTAAAATAAGCTTTATTTGAATCAAATACCTATATGTAGCTTTTCTTTTTTGTAGAGGGTATCTTCTTCTGATTGAAGGTGGTGTTGTTATTGTAAAAGAAGCTGGATAGTGAATCTCTAATGGGAGAAAAGGAGGAGGTATCATGATCTCGAAGTTGGCTTTGAGATTCGGTTACTTTTGCTGTAGGTTTAGGCTTTTGTTTGGAATGACGAATTGGGGGAGAGGGACTTCGAGTTCGAGATCTTCTACCTCTTTTTTGTACAGATATAAACCTTCGATTGCCATCGTCGTCAATAATTTTCGACTTCCTAAACGCTTTCGAGGTGTTTTGGGTAATGATTGCATCATTGGCCATTGAAATAATTTTATATATAGAAAATAGCTTCAAAAATACTTCAAAAAAAGGTTCTTTCTTTGAAAAGAAAAAAAAGAAGAAAGATAAAATCAAAATGTGTTTCTTTTCCAATTCTAAGCACTTTTTCAAGATCATTACTCTATTAAAGCTTTTTATATGGTTCTCAATTTTAAATATGGGGTTTTAATATCGAATTGAAGTTTAAATTGAATATTCTAGAAAAACCACGGATTATTTGGCGGATTTGACATCCAAACTATAAAACCACAGATTAATAATCCGCTCTTTTTGAAGCGGATTGATGCCACCGCGGAATCCGCGATGGCACAAAGTGCAGATTATTTCAGCGGATTCAGCACGGATTTTACATCCAAACTAGCCCTTACTCTTGGAGGTACGTATCGTCGTTCCTTTTTTCTTGCTATAAAATGCTTGTGTACTGACACAAATCGCAGGAGGTTTCTCTTCTTCTTCGCCAAGGTACGGCATGTGCTGCGATATGGTTGAAAACTTCGAAGTAGTTCTTGCAGATGGTCAAATCATCAATGTCAATGCCAATGCAAATTCGGACCTCTGGACTGCACTCAAGGGTGGAAGCAATAACTTTGGAATTGTAACCCGATTCGACATGAGAACTTTTTCACAAGGCAAACAATGGGCCGGGCTAGTCGTATACCCAATCTCCACCTTAGATGAGAACTTCAGGGCACTCAATAGTATACAAAACGATTGGGACCCATATGCGTCGATGAAACTGAGTATCACATTTTCACCTCAAACGAAATTCACTATTGCATCAAACTTTGAATACACCAAAGAAGACAGCGATCCAGCCGTATTCAAACCTTTCATGGATATCAAGCCTCAATACAGAAATACAATGAAGATCTCGACCCTCGGGGAAACTGCCCGAGACATCCAGAAAATGCAAGCCAAGGGAGTTCGTCAGATCTTTGCTACTACGTCCTTCCAATTTTCTGTTGCTCACTTACAGGACGTGTACACTCTCTTCAAAAGTGCGGCTACCTCTGTGGAGGATATTAAAGGCATGCGATGGACGCTGACATATTGGCGTCTCCACAACTCAATTACTGCCAAATCGATGGCATCTGGAGGCAACTCAACAGGCCTTGATACTTCGCAGGGCTCCCTTGTTCTGTGCATATTGACCTACTTGTGGGAAGATAAATCTGACGATGAACGTATGGATGGAACGGCTAGAAGATTTATCGAGGAAGTTGACGAGTCCAGTAAGATTGCAGGGTTGTTCCATCGCTACAAGTATGTCAATTACTCGGCGGGCTATCAGGATCCGATCAGTGGATATGGTGATGATATAAAGAGTAGTTTGCAAGCAGTGAGCAAGAAGTATGATCCCGAGGGCTTTTTCCAGACTGGTGTCCCAGGTGGCTTCAAGATATCACGTTAGAGAGTGTTGGTAAATAGGACGGGTAGACCCTAGTGGCTATTTGATTTTTTTATTTTAATTTTAGAAAAGAGCTTATCTTTACTTTGAGTAGCATGATGGATTTTGTCCCGAATTTTGACTTGTGTACCGTAGCTGTTCCTTCAACTTGAGGGTCCTTTGTGACAAAGCCTAGCGTGACTAGTTGCTTAACTCTCCGGCATCGAACAATGTTCTCTCAACAAAATATCGAACTCGTTTTGAGCTTTTACGTTTCATCGAAGTAAAGAGGAAAATTATAACTCTGAAAAAGCATGCACAAGATATTCAAATTAAATTAGAAGCTTGCATTTAGGGCTCGTTCGGATCGATTTTTTTTTCGACATTAGACTTAATATATTATAAATATTAATCTAATATAATGTTTACCGAATACAATATTGAGCTTAATATATATTAGATTATATTAAATCTATTATATAATTAAAATACTTTAAAGTAAATATAATATTTGAACTAATAAAATATTGAGTCTAATAATATTAAAATAACAAATACAACAACTTTTCTCAATATTTCTTATATAATAATCTATCGTTGGTCATGAGCTAGTATATGAGTATTTAGTATAAATAGAATATAAGAGGGAATAGACCTAATATTAGTCTATTATGAGAAGCTGGCTCGTATTAATGTTGGTTCAATAATGAGATCAGGAATACGGGAGACGTGGTTCCCACTATTAGTAGGCCCCTAAATGTCTGTATTGTATTCTGTCTAAAGAGCTAGCTAATGAGGGGAAATAGTAGGCCTTATATAGGCACTATTGAAAGAGCTAGTCTCCTTTGTATTCGCCTAAATACCTTTGGTACAGTAGTTATTGTATTGAAGTCATTCTTTTGAAGTGAATTCCCTTGTTCATATATTCGGAATTCTTTTTTATGGCTTCAAATACAATGGCTGAAAAGAAATTCGTAAAATCATAAAAATCCTCCATTTGCTGGCTAAAGTCCCTGATCTTTTATCAGTAGAACCAATCCCTTCCTTTAATTCTGTTTTACTCACTTCATTGCCTTGATATCGATCTTATTCGTATTAATCAGATCAGTAAGAGCTTAACATGGCTTTCCTTTCGTTATTGTATCGGCTGGATTAGTCGGACCATCAATCCAGATCACTTCAACGATCTCTTTCTGCTTGTAGGATTGATGTAGTGTTATGATGTCGATCATTAATCTCTTTTCACTAGTCATTCCCAGTTTCGTAAATAGGTCGTATAATGACTTGGAATCAGTGCACAAAACTAATGGAATCTCCTTGCCGAGAATGGCGCTAACTGTAGAAGTGATTGCTGCACTGATGTTGAATCCCTGAACTAATCTATATAGCTCGGATGTTAAAATATTGTGTATAACTTTTTTGCATTTAATGGATGATTAATGAATGATATTAGCATTATTGTGTTTATTTATTATGATAATCACATAGCCTATTTGGGATGAATAGTCCTTATTATTCGTAAAAGAGGTATCAGTAAAGATAACAATCTTAAATGAATTTAAATCAAATAGCACGTATTTGAATCCTTTGGCAGAGTTTTCTTTTTGTTATTTGATATACTTGTTTAATATCACAATATCATTCTTGTTAGGTTGAGTTGTCTATACTACTATGGATAAATCGAAAAATGCCTCGAATTGATATATAATTGCAATATATGCTTTGTGGGTTTGTTGTGCAATATACTGTTCATATATAGAAGTATACTTCTGAATCTTGCTATGTGTACCATGTATATCCATGGATTCTGTAGATACAAGCTATAGATTACCGTATTGCTTCTCCTGATCAAGATGAATATCATTACCCTTAAGTGTAAAAGTGATATCATTAAACTTTAATAAATAATCGTAAATAAGTTTCTTGTGATTTTTAGCCATAAAGCCAACTTACTTGAGTTACTCATCTTTAGTTTATATAAATATACTATTCCCAATAATAAGCGTATTATTTATCTAAAGCCTTATAATACTAAATCTAGTTCCCTTATCATTAATATGTAAAAGATAAGGGTTATATATGGATTGCTACATTTTAAGCTTCTCGCAGTGATAAATATGGTATATCCGGAACCAATGATTTCCTACCTCAGGAATACTATATAATAGCTTAACAACAAGTAAAATCATACTGGTTGATAAATTCATTTCTTCCGAAATATAGGTATAAAAAGTGCAATATAAATTTGAAGTGGATTGAGTATATATCTAAATGATATCTCGAATATATACTTCTATACTTGTTTTTCGAATACTCACAATTAGTAAAACTAAAATGTATTGATATGATTATTGAATTGTTGGGGATTATATTAATATTTATTTTTATTTATTTATAGTGATTAACGTCTAATATCTGACCTCCCAAGGGGTATTCTAGATGTACTAAGGAGCGGGCCTACAGGCTGCTAGCGTTCTAGCCGCTCATAATAATATAATGTTAGCTAATCAAAGGCTTGTTGCCTCTGGTGTTCCCCCGCTCAATATTGTTTATAGCGATCCTGCAATTATTCTATCTAAGGATTTGTGGTTCTGTTTTAGAGGACCTTGTTTTGTATACCATTCAGATGTCGGTGAATAATCAGATCGATCGCTATCGATCAGAAGAGTACTCGAAGCGCTTATAGCTAATCGATATAGGTCTTAGGTTGATTAGGATAGAGAGCTTATTCTTAGGGTATTAGAACAGATTGGAATTCGTATAGTTTCGTATAATTTAAATATATTCTAATATAGAATCCGGATCTAGCAAGAAGGTCAATAAAGCTATATTGTATTTATAGAATATAATTGATATATATTATCGCATTCTATTCAGATCGAAGTCGATTTGGTGTAAGCAGCTAGTCGCTGTGTATCTAATTATTGATTAAATATTGAAAGAAATACAATGGGCTTTTCTCAATCCTATATATATAGATGTTTGTACTATTTTTGTAATTGAATTTAATATAATAGGCTATAAAGTCATTATATCTGATCTGTATTGCTATAAATCTGTATAATGCTTTGCAAAAAAGCTTGAGGCTTCCCGGCTTTGAGGTATTATATACCAGTTTCATATATTATATATTTCGAAAATCAGACCTCTTTTTTCCTTTCATTATTTGCTCTCGGAGTGCTGACATTTGATATATAGGATAAAGCAGGAGCTGCTAATTGTAGAGAGACAGAATGGGCTAAGGTCAAGCAGCCCAGCCGTACCCTGATCAGCAAGACGATTGGCTGTCTCATTATTCTTAATCTTAGTATGTCCAGAGAATCACTTGATTACAATATTGTAGTGTTGTATTGCTTGATAGCACTTGTGATATGTTTATTAAGAGGAGGCAGCGATGCTTCTTTGTATTCCCCAGATTACTGAAGTGCTATCAATATATAACTATATTCATCCCTGATAGGAGTAATCAATAATATTCAGAAGGCATTCTAGTCCCCGCCACGCACCAATTGCCTCAGCATCAAAAACATACAACTATTTGCATACACGGCTGTAACTGCTATCGATCTGTTACTTACCACAATAGATTGCAAAGCTGTATCTTATATAGTAATTGTGTTTGTTATATTGTTTAGACTTGTCTGAAAATATAGAGTAGTCTTCTTGAGGGATTAAATCCCATCATTTCTTGAATACTTTTGCAATATCCTCTTTATCCATACCATTCATTGAATCGATACAATATTTGGAAGAGAAGTAAGGCTGTAAGAGTCTGGAACACTCAATAATAGGAATTGCCCATCCTATTCTTTACAATTTTGTATTAGAACCTTTCAGAATATCTATACCTTATCCTCTTTTCCTGATATATAGCTTCAATTGGTTTACAAGTAAATATTGTATATTCACTGTCTGAAGCTGAAACGCGAATCTCAGTCTTGCTTGCTCTAATACAACAATTCTAACTAAAAGACTAATTTCTATAAGGAGTATAGTTATCGAGATTATCTTATAAACAGATAAAGCTCCCTATATCATATTGTAAATCGTCTTGCTGATTAGGTCGATATATTTCTTGATCCCAATGCTGATTGGAACACAGCCTGCATTTGAGTATTGTTTGTATAGCCCATTGAACTATACTTCGGAATCGAAAAGGACAACAAGGAGTATACAGATAATAATCGCTTTTTGTAGACAGACTGTAGATAGTCCATAAACTATATAAGCTATTGATTGGATGTGGAACGCAACACACATAGCTTTCGTGATGCACGTTTTGATATACTATAAGAATATTAGATACTAATCAAAAAAGACGCCAAGCTAGTATAAAGTTGATTGTGTTCTATTGGTAAACCCTAAAAGAATCAGTGTAATAATTAGATCCCGACTTATCCTCATAATCAGATTTGCAATTTCATATTTCCTTGATATATAAAGTAGCTTAAACTTTTCTGAAACGAAAAAACCTTATTCTGATCTTTTTATTATAAAATATGTCAAATGGTTTGATGGAGTATATATATATTTATAAATAGATCCTTAGATATATAATATATAGCTATATTATCAGTATATTCGAAGTGCTATACTCTATCTTGATTAAAAAGCTTAGTAAGGTAAAGGGTATACAAGATAGGGGAGAATAGCAATCCCTGAGGAATATTATATATGATCAGGAAATCCTATATTGTGATCTCCTCAAGCCTTATACACATATATCTCTTAGTCAGGAATAAATCAACAAATCGTAAGAGCGCTATAAGCCAACCCTGCTTCTTTATACATTATAGGAGCTGTCTTTTAAGGAATATATTATAGGCACCTTATATATCTATTGTTACTAGTATAACCACTTTGCCAATTATTAAAGTAAGCTCAACATTATAGGTAAAGGCAGCTGTGAAATCAATACCGGCTCTTTTCGATAGTGCTCTGCAATACTGAAGGCTGATAATGTTATATCTTATAATTGTCCATACAATTTGATTGATAATATACTTTTCTAGTTCTTTTCTAAT